ACAGTGGCTGGGTCACTGGAACATTGCTTCCTGTTCCACATGTCAAATAGCAGTAGGTTTGGTAATGCCAAGTTCCAATGAACTAGACTTTAAGGCCTCATTCGCATGGTCGCACGGATCCAATCCATATAGCAACCCCTGTGCATGCCTGAGCACATAAACATGGCGCCCTGCATGGATGTAAGGATTGTTTCACCCGTGTTGATGAGACCTTTTACTGGTTTTATTTCTATGTTCCATATTCCATTGTACACGTGTTGCACATTGACAGTCACAAACCTATTTACTGTATCATCCAACCACTGCTTGATTTTTGCATTTTTTTCACTATCTTTAGTATAATTCTTCAAAGTGACTGAATAATTGATACCAACATTTTTTTTTTTCCCCATGACTAAGTGCAGGGCCCTATAGTCCAGCGGCTGCATTTCCCACCGCTGTTAGTGAATCATGGAAAATTCTCGCTGGCAGTAGTGTCAATGCTTGCTCACTCCCTCCTGCCTGCCACATATTAATATTGGTCTGTCGCAAGGATGGGTTGTCTCACTGGCCAATAGAAATGCCTCAAAATGTGGTGGACAACCTTTTACACAACCAGTAAGTGTTGGGTCAGAACAGCCTGGTATTCATGCATTGAAATAATCTCTAGGTCCCGGCACTTTGTATCTTTATAGCAGGTTTTTATTTCCGACCTAGTCACATGAATGCACTTGCTAAAATATAACTTTTTCTGGCAAAATTTGATGTTTTCAGCTAAATCCATTTGTGGCAGTTTATACTCCTATGGGGGGAATTTACTAAAACTGAAGTAGCTGTGCATAGTAACCAGTCAGCTTCAACCATGTTACACTGATATTCAGGGTATAACATGGTCACATTGATACCCCACCCCGTACAATCTCCCCCCCCACCCACCCCCAAATACATGAATCACAGGATTCTTCTGCCCGCAGGCTGGTATTCATTTTTTAATTCAGTGCCCGCACAGCCGAGTCGTCCATTCACAGATCTTTTGACTGGATCTGTAAACTAAAAGTCCCATCAGCCACTGCAACAGAGTGACTTTAGTTCTCAAGGGAATACAAGTGTGGTGACATCACTGCACTTGTAATCCATTTACTCTTCCTCTCGTCCATGTTACTGAATGTCCATACCTTGGTACAGACATGGGCAGGAGGAAGAATCTGCAGGAGCCAGAGTATTGCACCTGCTGTCCACTGAGCGAGGCTTCAATGCAAAAGCAGCAAAACCGTTATTTTTTGTTCTTAAATAAATGCAGATATATTCTTATTTTTAAAAGGTGGACTTTGCCTATAATTGTTTCCCCCCACAAAACGTAATGTTTTGCATTATTTTATACTTTTTTTTCCTCTGTCGAAAGTGGCGCTAGATATAATGCTGGATTGTTAGGATTCAAGATATATGCTCGTTTATCTTAAACCTAATAAAATCTCATTCTGCAGATATATTTTTTTCTTTTCTTTACATAATTAAAATCCTTTAATACAAATGAGCACAGCAGAGGCCAAATCACGATTTTATGTCTGTTGGTGACTTTAACCTTTTTGTCCTCAAGTGTCTGACACACGAAATGCAGTCGCTCCTTCACTAATAGCATCTGCTGGGTTATACTGCTCTCTGCCTGCGTTGTGACGTGTACCCGCCATTATTACTGCGACATACAGTGTGTGTCCTAACAGCTTGTAATGTTTTCCTCCTGTCTGAATCCACTATGTGCCATTCTAGCTGCGGGGAGGGAAGTGAGTAAGCACAAAAAAAGTGGATTGGCACTGGCTGTGTGATAGACGAGCTATCAAATGACCACCCTCTGGTGGAAGAATTAAATCCTCGCCCGGGGGCGTCTGCTGGAACTCAGGGTAGTCATATTGCAGTTTTTAAACAGCTGTCGAGAACGTTTGGTGAGTTAGTGTCTCGATTGCAGCCGGGAAGTGTAACTTGACAACTGATCTGTTTTGTCGGAAGGCTTCAGCTGCAGACAAGAGGCCGGCTTCAGATTCTGAGCCGTCTTCCCGGACAGTCAGCTGTCATTGGGCTGCCACTAGTCTGGCTGAAGTTTTAAAGCATCATTTTGAATCGGAGAATTCTGTTTACAGCAGATATGTTTATTATCTTTGCTTGGCACTACCAGTCTAAGCGAATCGCTTAAATAGTCAGCAACTAAATCTGTTAGCGGAAGGTAAAATGACCGATAATATGTTTGGGTAATATAT